GCTCCCCGGCCCCGCTACCTATGGTGGAGATGAAAGTTGAGTTGAAGGCGTCCTCGGAGAAGCGGAACAGGACACAGGTCTTCCCCACCCCCGAGTCCCCGATCAGCAGCAGCTTGAACAGGTAATCGTAGGTCTTCGCCATATTACACTCTCTCCCCGACGGGAAGTGCGGCCAGCGCCTCGCCACTGGCCGCTGGCCCCGTCCATCAGCGCCGAGCCCGCCCCCTATTGGCTCCCAGCCCGCCGCGCGTCACCGCGGCCGTCGCCCGCTCCCGCGCCCCGCCCGTCGCGGGGAGAGCTGGGGAAGGGGCGAGCGAGGCGCGGTGCCGGAAGCGGCCCGAGCGCGCCGCTCATTGGTCGGCGCCCGGGACAGGGCGGGCTCCAATTGGCCAGCCCTGAAGAGTCGGGGGCTTCAAATGCAGCCCAGCGGGGGGCGTGGCCGCCCGGGTCCCCGCCTTCTTTCCCCTCTCCCCCCCCTCCCCACCGCTCCCGGCTCCGGGGCGGCCCCGCCCCCCCGGTGGGAGGGGGAGGGCGGGGAGCGTCGCCAACGGCTCCGCGCGCCCGCAGCTCGGGGGCGGGGCTTGGGACGCGTGCGTACGGGGCCGGGGGATCGTTAGGCGCCAGCAGAGGGCGCGCGCGCGGCGGGCCCTGGCTCTCCCGCCCTCACGCCTGCGCAGCCTCAGTAGGCGCGGGGAAGAACGCGGGAAGGGGCCGCGCGGGTGGCGGGGTGGGGCGGCGGCGGCGGCGGCGGCGGCGGCGGCTCGGGCCCGGGGGGCGCGAAGCGGGAGGGGGAGCCGGGGTCGAAGCGAGGTCCCCTCGACACGTCCTCCGGGGCCTCGGCGCTGGCCAGGGGACTGCTTGGGGCTGCCGGGCCTCCGCCGCCCGAGCTGCCTCACCGCGCCCGCGAGGCCCCGGGACCTAACCGGAGCGTGTCCAGACCCGGAGCGCCGGCCGCGGCGGAGGGAGCCCCGTGAGGATCCGGGGGGTCGTTCCGAGCCTTGGTGCTTGCCTGCCGGTGTGGCCCGCACTGGGGAAAAACACAAGGCGTCCCCACTCCGACCCACCGGCTTGGTACTGGGCTTCCCGCCCGCTGATGGGTTAGAAAACCGGGCTTCGGGGATTTCCCCGGGCTCCCGAGTGGGGAACCGGGTCCGAGCTCAGGCGCGAGCATCCACACTCGCGGGGGGGTCCCGAACCCTGCGGGGATCTGGCTCCGGTGCGGCGGGGGGCGGGGACCGGAGCGGGGAGCTTCCCGCCGAGCCGCCGCCCGCCCTCCCTGCGGGGGCCTCCCGTCGCCCACGCCCAGCCTAGCCTCTGGGTGCTGCTCCTCGGATTGTGTCGCAGTCTCCGGGGTCCCCGCGTGTGCTTCAGGAGTTGCCGGTGGTCCCAGGTCTGCCGGCACCCTGGGGCAGCTCGTTCATCTCCGTACAGGTGATGCTTTGAGGAAAGCCATCCCCCAGCCATCCGCCAGCCGCTTTCTTGGATTTGGCCCAGGGACTTCGACATGTCTGGCAACTGAAGATGGCAGCTTCTACTCCCACTGGCCTGGCCCGAATTGCCTTATGAGTGAAGCCGAAGTCATCCCCGACCCTGCTCTTCCATCGTCTCCCATCTTGGTTCTAAGTAGTCGTTGAGCCTTGCTCCTCTCTCCACCCGCCTCCCTGATGATTCTGTCCTCTGATCCAGATTTCACTCGGCAGTGTACTCCTCCTAAGGCACCTGTCCGTGCCCCACTCAGGTCTGTCAGGATCAGGTCTTCACACTCTGCTCCTAAGCTCTCCCTGCGTTCCACAATACACTTCACGGGATCTGGAACTCCGGGAGATCTGAGATCGGTTTAACAAACCCAGAACACTTCTTTATGTAGTGAGGCACGAGATTGACTGGAACCGTATCCTGAGATTAGATTGCAGCCCAAGGCGATGGGCAAGACAAGACCGGGGAGAAGGAACTTCTGTCTAGTAATGGTAGGGCCCTTAGAGAAGGCAATTATACTTCAGTCATTGACATTCTCCGCATCTACCATCTAAACAAGGTCACAGGGACGCCTGGGTGGCTCAGTGGTTGAGCTGCTGCCTTTGACTCAGGGTGTGATCCCGGAGTCCCAGGATCAAGTCCTGCATTGGGCTCTCCCTCCTCTGCCTGTGTCTCTGCTTCTCTCTCTCAGGTCTCTCATGAATAAATAAATAAAATGTTTTTTTTTAAAAAAAGCTCACAGCAGCAGCTAAATGTTAATACTCAACATCAAGGAGATGTTTTTAATGGTTTGCATACCACATTAGTTTTTTAAAGGCTTTCATTTCTCTTTTTGATTCCCTACCCCACTTCCCCATGATCAGATCTTGGGGCAGATAACAGAACGATTCAGGTAGTGAAACTGCAGTCATCTTTTGACACTTCTTCAGGTCACCTGCCAGCTGCTCAGCTGTCTTAAGATTACTTCCTCCAGATCACTTCTTCCTTTTCATTCCACGGCAAGCACCATCTGGGGTTTATGGAGACATCTCCCTAACTGGCCTTACTGCCCACTGGTCTGCTCCCACTCTTGTCCTCCTTGAAAATAGACTAAGTGAATTTTCCTAATGTGTTTCTTTGTTGATTAGTCTTTAACAGCTCTCCTCCTGACCGAAGTTTTAAGTTCAGGCTCTCTTCAGTATGGACCCAGCTTACCTTCCAGTTTACCTACTTCTTTCCTTTATATATGCAGGCAGGCCTTGTGCCTTCCTGACTCAACAGGGACCATTTTCCCTGTTCCTGTCTCATCTAGTAAAATCCTAGTTATTCTTCACAGCCTGGTTCAGGCATGACTGGGTCTAACAAAGGATAGGGGCTTTTGAATTACTGAGGCAAGGTGCTCTCCTGAATATAGAGATCATAATCCTCATATGAAGTCATTGTATAAAGCAAGGAATGTTTGTTAATAATCTTGGCACGAAACTGTGGAAGGAGCCTCGGTGTCCATCGAAAGATGAATGGATAAAGAAGATGTGGTCTATGTATACAATGGAATATTCCTCAGCCGTTAGAAACGACAAATACCCACCATTTGCTTCAACGGGGATGGAACTGGAGGGTATTATGCTGAGTGAAGTAAGTCAGTCTGAGAAGGACAGTGTAAGTTCTCATTCATTTGGGGAATATGAGTAATAGTGAAAGGGAATATAAGGGAAGAGAGAAGAAATGTGTGGGAAATATCAGAAAGGGAGACAGAACATAAAGACTCCTAACTCTGGGAAACGAACTAGGGGTGGTGGAAGGAGGGCGGGGGGTGGGGGTGAATGGGTGACGGGCACGGAGGGGGGCACTTGACGGGATGAGCACTGGGTGTTATTCTGTATGTTGGTAAATCGAACACCAATAAAAATTAATTTATTAAAAAAAATAAAAATGACAGCTAAAAAGGAAAAAAAAAATCTTGGCACAGTTATCTTTCCCTCCCATCCCATTAACACTCATTGAACAAGTACCTTCCGCGTCCCCCCAAACACATTCTAAAGTTCACACAAATTATAGTTTATGTAAAAATTTATTTGACCAAAATGTAGAAAAAGTGATACTATTACATATGATACAGTTGCAAGAATCTAAATGAAAAGTGGGTTTTATTCAATTGCACAATTTGCTAGTGTACCTTTGGGTAGTGTGATGCTTAATAAATAGGAGTGAGGGGCAGAGGATTTGGATAAGCTAGAAGCAGGGTAATTTTGTCAGCATTGTAAACTTGAGTTGGCCCCCACACTGCTGGGGAATGTGGAATGTTTCAGCTCTGAGATGTTAATCAAGAAAGCAGAAATTACAACAAAGCCAAAATGTGCAGCCCTGCCTACAAAATACTCCATATCCAGTTTAATCAGGAGTTTCTTCTTGGTCTTTTATTAACTTGGTCCTGAAGAAGGAATTAAAGTCCTACATAAGTAAATCTTCAGTTTGCCATTCCTGAAGTTTAAAGGAGATGAAACTAGGCCAATTACTTTATCTCTACCTTGCTGTCAGAAAGGCCCCCTTCTGCCCAATATTTGTTAACAACTACTCAGTTACTGATGGCTAGTGGTCTTCCTGATAGGACTTCTCGAAATAAGACTGACTTCTACCACACTTATTCCTGCTGAATAGACGGTCTCAGATCAGAGCAGACAAGCATTATTATTGGATAATAAGCTATTATTATTAAGCCATTATTGGAATAAGCTATCTGCTCCTCAGAGACCAACTTTAGAATGAGAGGAACATGTAGAAGAGCGTAACATCAAGGATCTATCTAGAAAATATCTGGGTAATTATTATGATTATTTCCCAAGTATTCTCATGCTGACTGCTCAGAGAATGTTTGTTCTGCATGGTGGAGTGTGGGAAAGAGCCAAGATGATTAGGTTAATCTTTCTATGGTTTATGAATTCCCACAAAGCCAGCCCCCTCCCCCTGGCTTTTCACCCCCACCCCCCATGGAAAATCCCTACCCATATTTTAATGTGATGGTCCCTGGATACCTGTCGTGTGACACAGTGGCCCAGAAGATTATATATTCCTTGGCCTTTTAAATTGACCCTTGACTAGATACTGGAGTTGGTTTTGAAAGTGTAGGGTTGTCTATTCTCCCAGGAACCAAATGCCCTCAGTCTTAAGAGAGTATGCTCAATATGAAATACCCTGCCTACCTTATGAATAAATGCAACTTAAGGATAAAAATAGAGCTGAAAAAGCTGGTGCCGTTTGAAAAAAGGAAGGAATTTGATTTAACTGGTGCTCAAAGCTTCTCTGATACAAAATATTTGGTCATGTATTCGTAATTTGCTTGACATTTCCAGCAAAGCGAAGATTCAATAGCAAAAGAAACTTCTTACAAGAGAAGAGAAAGACACGGAGCTCTGGAGTTTCTGTTGGAACAAGACTCTTCTGTTTTGGTTATATACAGTTAAGTTCGTTTAGTGTCTGATCCAGTGTCTGATGTAAGCCCACATTCTCTTCCTTGGCCTGGGCAAGTTTTTCTGGTAAAGATTAAGAGTGGGGGGAAATAAATTAATAAGCATCTTTGTTAAGGTAAAAAAAGTTTCTAAACTCCACAAACTGTCAAAGTCAGAGCAGAGAAAGTACTTTACATTTTACTTACAGTAGTATACCATGGAATAATAGAGATCAAGCTTCAAAAATATGGGAGTCAGAGTTGTAAGATAACATACACAGTCTTCAATTAAATTTGAATTTCAAGTAAACAAATAATTTGTTAGTACCAGTATATCCCAAATGTTGCGTGAAATATACTTATGCTAAAAAACTATTCATTGCCTATCTGAAATTCAAATTTAACTGGGTGTCCTATGTTTCCATTTGTTAAATCTGGCAATCTAGAGTTAGAACACCTGCACTTAAACTCCAGCTGTGCTGCTGGAATGCGCCATTTATAACCTTGCTAAGTCTCAGTTTCCCCATCTCTCAAGGATAACAATAGCAATACAGGGCATGGGGATTAGCATAAGGAAAAACAATGAGCACTTCAGAACTGAAGAAGGGTTACACAAACGTAAGACTTTAGTCCCAGATATGGGAAACTACATTTCCCCCCCCTAGTGCCAGTTAGTTAGCCTTTGGTAGGAAATTATAATCCTGAACCTGATTTTCCTTTGGAGGTTTTGGGAGCGGCCATTTAAATTCCAGGCAAAACTGTGTTACTCTTATCTGTGTCCATAGCAATATATATAGTCAAACCCTAGATAAATGCAGCATGCCTCAAAATCTAAGACTATAGGTGAGTTACTACGTGACTGAGCTGACAAATTTTTAAACACTGAAAAAGGTGCCCTGTAGAGCTATGCATGACAGTGATCATGACAGAACTGGTTTGCAACGAGTGATGGCTGATAACAGACTAGGCCAAGAATCATTAAAATACTGGAGGAAAGCAAAATGCCTCATAAACCGTGATAGGATCAGCTTGGAAATTTTCAGAAAGGAAAAAGAAAATGACTGCAACGATGGCAGTCTTTCAACTAGAACTGCTGAACCTTTCATCTGATGCAGTTAAAAACATCACGTTGCTATGATTGGGGCGAATTCTGTCAGAGAAACATACAGCGAGTGCCGTGGGCCTGACTAACATGGATGGACAGTGCCCACTCCGTATGAGCCAGTTTCTCCACAATCTCACCTAACCCTCAGTAACTGAGCTACCACTTTTGCAGCAAAGCTAAGCAGCTTGTTGAAGACCCTCAAATGGCAGGGCTGAGTTCAAACCCAGGTCTCCCCACTACAAATCCTGACCTCCCTTCACCTTGCCACTTGGGATTCCCTGGCAGCCACTCTGTATTAGGTGTGAGATAAAAATGACTTTCTCTTAAAGTATCAATTGCCCTTGAGAAGTGTGACAGGCTCGTAGACTGTCAACGGGTAGTGGCTGATCTCCACAGCCCAAATCTCTGTAAATGAAGTTCCACTTAGGCACTTAGTTAAGCAGAATGACTGGATAAGCAGGGCTGCAGTTATTTCAAAGGGTGGAGGCTACATACATTTGGAAAAATCCCAGGAACAAATATATAGAGTGAACAAACAACACCCACCCCTACATAGTCTAACCTTTCCACGAGCGTAAGTATGGCAGTGTGTGAGGGGAGTGGCTTATGGAAAAGCTCAGGGTGGATAACAGAAAACCAGGGAGCGGCTGGGGGTGAAAGGCTATACAGTTTAAGGGGAGATGGATTTTGGAGGGATGATTATGAAGAATTGGGACAGAGGTTCACACCTGGATAAGAAATTCTAGGATGAGGGATAAGCTATAGTGAGTGACCAAAAAAACTGATGATCTAATTGGAGATGTTCATTCTACTCCCAGGTTCAAGGGGGAGTCTAGAAGACAAGCTGGGACATCAAGATGGCAGTGTTTCTGAGATAATTTTTGGTGGTGTGGATGGGGTGCAGAGAAGTGGATAAAATATTTAAAATTTGGGTTTTTGTGGAAAAATCTATGGGCTTTTCGGTTACTATATGCATGATCTCTTCATGCCCATAGGCTAACTTTATGAGTTCTCACCAAACCAAACCAAGGTTCCTGCTTCGAGTTAAATTAAGGATGAGAAGATAGATGTTAGCATCTCAGGGAACTTTGTTTGGAACTCGGGGATGAATCATCGCTTTCTGTCTGGCTTTCCAGCAGCTTCCACCCCCTTTCCCTGCTAACGGGATACACTTTCATTCCTTGTGTAGTTGTTTTCTAAGGGCAAGGGACGGAGGTGAGGCTCACTGGTGAACTTCCTGGCAGGACAGAGGGCTGGGTAGATGTTCCATGCACAGTGAAGACACAGGGAAACCAGGACACCACTCTCAAGAGTTGTAACACAGAGAAAACAAATGCGAAAAGGAAGAAATAAGGAGACCAGAATGCCGTTGCCGCTTTATGAATCCGTAGGTCAAACCCCATTCAAGAGTAGCTTCTTTTTAGACGCAAGCCTGCCAGTTTTTGCGAGTTCTGCTGACTCTACCCAGCTGCTTAAGAGGCTGGATGAGTCTCCATTCAAAAACAATTTCTATTTAAGGAAAAACTGCTATTGGCATGCAGATATAGTTAGCTAGTGCATATTTGAGAGCTCATGCCAAATTGGCTCTCGTCTCCATACAGGCAGAAAAGAATCATGTGGGCACCATTTTCCCTTTGAAATGAGCTCTTCATTTGAACCACCCACTTTCTGTTGTAACCATCGTCAAGGGCCTCACAGCTACGGTTCAAAAGCGGCAAGTGAAGAAAATGAAAATGAGGGCCTGGGCATAAGGAAGGCCTGTCTTTATTTCAGTCACACAGTCACAGACACAGCAGAGGAAAGCTTGAAAGACCAAACCAGGAGGCAGGAAACAGGCTTCTAGAAGCCCACGGGAAGCGTAGGCATCACAGTGAGAAGGCCAACTTCGGTATTGCTAGGACAGAGGGTGGCACCCCAGCTCCCTCTTAGAGAGAGGTCATGTCGTTGAGAGCATGGTCCAGTTCCTCGCTGATAGCTTTGTACTTGAGCTTCTGAGCGTATAGCTCGTCTAGAGGGTGGAGGTCCCCAGGGAGAGAGTTCGGAAGAAGAGGTACAGGGAACAGAACGCGAGGGTCGGAATGGAGTGCCATAGATGAACAATGAGAGGAAGGAAAAAAAAAGTGAGAAAACAAAGCATGAACTAGAAGAAAGTTTCGTCCTATGTAAAACAAATGAAGCAGCCAAAGATCAGTGGAGTGGTTTCTAAGTGATTTGAGGCTCTGTGGGGGATTAGCCATAATGAGCCTTTAACAGAATGGGGCTCAATATGGACACAGCTTCTACACCCCAGGTTATTTCTGACTTTCAGTGACGTCAGCCAGACCAAAGGTTATACTTTGGGGGGTATTTTCACTTATACGGAAGCCTCACCTCCCAAACCAAACACTGGGACACGTGGTCTGAGGAAGAAGTTTGGCACCCTTTCTGGGTGGGACAGATAGTTTTAGGATGTTCTATCTGAATCCCAAGATGCTAGAATTTCCCAGTTATTTTATGAAAAACACAGGACAGAATTCTCTCTCTCTCTCTCTCTTTTTTTTTTTTTAGTTGGAACTCTTCAAGAGATTCTGGGATATGTGGGCACCAGACTTGCAGACTGGAGTCTTTTTTTTCAGTCTACATTCTCTGTATTTCCATTTTCTCATATTGTGATAAGCTCTGAGCTCTCTGGGAGAGAGCTTCTGTAAAAATGTAAGGCATTTAAAAAATGCAAGACTTCTTTCAGGAATGAGCAAATTGAAGGAAATTCTGAAGACTTTTAAAACAAAATCAGCCATATTTGGGTCTCTGTATTCACATGTGGCACCAATTAAGCAAAGAGATTTTTTTACTCATTGAAAAATGGAAACCCAGGTCTGAATTTGACCTGCGCTGTCCTGTTCCAGTGCTCCAGATTTCCAGAATGTGCTGTCACTCCGCACTTCACTTTCCCAGGATGAACAAAGCCCAGCTCAACCCCTCCCATCTATCAGCAGACTGTCACAAAGTGGGAGGCAGAACAAACATAATTAGGTAGTAGCTTCATACCTTCCAGGTCATCAATTGTCTTTTCCAGTTTTGCAACCGTTCTCTCTGCAAATTCAGCACGGGTCTCAGCCTAGAAGGAAGGAAAGGAGTCACTATGATTGCTTCAGGACTAGCCGCGAGACGAACTTGAACTAGGTGAGTATGATCATGCTCACCTCTTTCAGTTTGTCGGACAAAAGTTTGATTTCTTCTTCATATTTATCCTCCTTTTCAGAATACTGTGGGAGAAACCAAAACAGTACTTAAAAAAAAAAAAAGGAACCAAAAGAAAAAAAAGTATAGAAGAATATAGGTTCTCTATTCCTTGGAGAAAAGCATGTGCTTGAAGCACTATGGACATGCCCAAGAAGCAAAGTGGAGGCAGCATCTTTTCAGGTAGAAAAAAATGTGTCCAAAACTCAAGAGAAAAAAAAACAACAAAACTCAAGAGAATTTGTTGAGGAGCCCTCTGGGATGGGACTGAGCTGAAGGCCTGGGCTGGATAACTTGAGATGACATTGGGATGAAGTTGGAGCAGATGGCTGAATGGAAATACAAGCCATAGAGAGCCCTCCACAGCTGGCCTAATTGATGTTTCCAACCCCACTCTCCACCAGCTTTCCCAAACACGTTCTGTGCACTCTCCAGGCTCCCAGCCTTGGGCCCCCCAAGCCCCCAAGCATAGGATGTTCCTTTCCCTGTGACTACCTGTCAGAAATTATTCTTGTCTTACAAGGTTCAATTCGGATTTAGTATCAGCTAATCTTTATAGCTGCTCACTATGTTGTTAGATATACTCGATCCCATTTTACAGATGAGTAAAGAGTCACAGAGAAGTTAAGTAGTTTGTTTAGGGTCACATGGCTATGAGGTGACCATACCACGACTGGAACCTGACTCTGGAATTTGAGCTCCTGGCCTTCATCATGCTTTATAGCCCTTTTAAATGTCACCTCCTCATGACACATTCCCCAACTTCCCAAGGTCCCTTTGTTAAAGTCCCTTTTATTATTGGGGTCAGAGTCTACTCAACTACAGTCTGAGGCCTTGAAGAGTAGAAGCTATATTACTACTGTAACATCTACCCCCCATGGCCCAGGACAGCATTTAGCATGCACACATGAGCTACAACTGCTCAACTCTCCTGGTATCCCTGTTAATACTACTGACACAATTCTAAAACAAGACAGACATAGTCCCTGTCCCTAAGACTTACAACCTAGCAAAGAAGGCATCTAATTAATTATGACAAATGTGATCAACCATCATGATAGGAAAAGAAGTATGTGGGGCTATACAGCCGAGAAACCCCTAACCTAGATGTTCAGTGCAACTGGAGGGCAGTAGGAGGGCAGGAGACTGAGGAAGTGAGGACAGCGAATTCATAGGGCAGGCCATGGAAGAGTACGTACAGTGTTCCTCGTATGGTTCTATCCTGTAATGACTTCTCTGGGTACGATTTCAACCTAAAGAGCCCAATTCCACCTCTCATATCTGCTGCTCAATCTTTTAGAGTGTATTTCTGAGGATCCAAGGGATTCATGAGAGTGAAGCTCTGTATACAATCCTGCTCAAATCTCCCTAAAAGGAGCCTGACCAGGTACGAATCCCATAGTCCATCTCCACCCTCACAGAAGGTGGAGATAAAAGATGGTGCAAAGACCCCACTGAAGGAAATCTAACCACCGGACAGTTCTTTCTATGGGGGAAAAACCTTGTTTCTGGGCACCAAAGCTACTGTTAGGAAATACAGGTTAGACCCCCGATACCCTGGCATACTCCCAAGCATCATGGGAGAAGAAAAAAGTCCAATGAATCACCAATGCCAAGCCAACCACCAACCTTTTCAGATGCAGCCTCGAGTGACTTCAGATTGTTAGTGACATTCTTGAGTTCTTCTTCTAGGTCACCACATTTACTGTGCAAAGACAAAGAAGTTTTATGTCCCATCCTCCCCAGCAAGGCAATTCCCCTGAAAGCTTTCAAAAAGAGGAATCCACGCTGCCTAGGGCCCCCAGAAGGAATGCGGGGGGAAAATGTTAATGGCTTTTTTCAGAGCTATAGTGCTGTGCACTTATCAAAACCCTATCATGCCTGGCAAAGGCGCAGCAGGCCGAGGCATATTTGGAAGGTTTGTAAAGCACTCCTGGGCTCTCGCCAAGGGTGAGGCAACAGGGACTTGTGAAATCTATGATTGATGAGGCTGACTCCGGAAGGTGTAAGAATGAAATGGAGTGCAGGAGGCTGAGAGACAGCAATCAGTTTGCACCCAACACTCCAGGAGGCAAGCTCTGAATGGATTTGCGAAACTAGATCCTCTCTCTCAGCACTGCAGGATGCTCCACTGGGCTGGATTCCTCACGGAAAGCCAAGGGGAGAGGCTTTTTGTTTGTTCAGAGCTTGCAGGACCGTGGTCAGCTTCTCACCTCCACACCCCCCAACCCCAGGAATGTGTCACAGGCAAACAATGACATCAAGAACAAGGCAGTGAAAGGCTGACAAATCGGCCTTCCATAGGTAAGTGTTCTCTTAAGAAGGCACAGCCTCCTGAGCCATCCTTTCTGGGAAAATGGGACTTCCAGGTTTCTCTGCTACTGCCTTTCTCACTTCTATTTCCCAATACCTTGTGGGAAGAGTCAACACATAGGCAGCACTTCCCAGGACAGCAAGAACAAAAAGACAGGGAGGCCCGGAGGAGGGGCCGAGCTACGACTCCCAGCTGCCCATCCATGTGAGCAGAGGCCTTACCGAGTCAGTCAATTTCCTACCTGACAAACTCCCTCCCACTGTGCCCTAGGAGCCCAGCTGGGTCCCTCTCTGTCCCGCTCTACCACTCACAGTTCAGACACCTCGGCACGCTCCTCCGCCCTCTCCAGCTCGCCTTCCAGGATGACCAATTTACGAGCCACCTGCAGACAGAAAGGATCAACTGAGACCCCCCAACAGCCATGTCCACTAGGATGCCCCCTGCCACCGCCCTCATAGACAGCAAGGCTTCATCCAGATCATCTGCGAAGATGTGGGCCCCAGAAGTGAGGCAGACATGGGGGAAGCCGACTACCGAGGCCGGCAGGAAAGCAACTGAGCTTTCGTGGTCTGAAGATCTCTGATTCCCAATTTGAGCCAAACCGTACTAAAACACCCGGTTGCCAGACAAAAAGTGATCTGATCAATTGGTTTCCCTACTAAGGAAGACAAGTGTCACACAATTCCCCGGGCCTTTCTGGCATTGTGGAAGATAGTTTCCTAGCCAAGTGGCTATCTCTGGAAGAACAGATGTGGACACAAAAGGACAGCTGAACTAACCAAAAGCTTCCTTTGGCGGCCCCAGGGCTCTCCCTATCGCAGATCCATTTCCTCCCCACTTCCTGCTGCTGCCATCTGCCAGCCCCACTCACCTCCTCATACTTGCGGTCGGCCTCCTCAGCGATGTGCTTGGCCTCTTTGAGCTGCATCTCCTGAATCTCCATCTTCTCCTCATCTTTCATGGCCCGGTTTTCTATCACCTTCATTCCTCTGCAAGGAGCAAGCTTGTCATTACCTTCACAGGTTACCGCTCATCATACAGCTGCATACACCTGCTCATCCAAATACCCCTCTGACATCTATCTACCAAGAACCATGCTCTAAAGAGTAAATTGAAAAGCGGTTCTCATTCACTTCCCCTTTGCCCTCAACTTCATGAATGCCCTATGAGGGACACCATCCCCACTTTACGGAGGAAGAAACTGAGGCATAGGCCAAGTAAGTTGCTCAAGGTTGTGTAGCTAGTAAGTGGCAGAGCTGGGATTCCAACTCCAGTGATCTGGCTCCAGGGTCCATACTCCCATCCTATACAGCCTCTCACTGACTAGTAACAAGAGGTACTTATGTGCCAACAGTTACCACAATGTGATGAGAGGTCTGGGACAGCCTTGCTGTGGGAATGATGAGTTCCACCGCACTGGGGGCAGAGGTGTGTTATGTGTCATGGAAGGCTTTCCAGAAGAGAATACAGGGAAGCAGAGGATGGTTTCAAAAGCAAGAATGAATGGAAACCAGAAAGATGAAGGGAGTACAGTGGGAAGACCAGGTCAGAGGCAGATGCCCACAAAGGGAAGGGTGAGAAGGACCTGAACTGAAGTGGATACATCCAGTCTGGAAAGGACAGTGTCCTGGGGACAGCTGGGAATGTACCGCACAGCTTGGTGACTATGAACTGAGCCCACTGGCCTGCGCTGCTTGGAGTGTACTACTTAAGATCAGATACCTCCAAAGAGGCCAATCCAGGATAATGTACTGACGTGTGTCACGCCTGCCCTGAGCGGAGGACCATACAGGTCTTGCTGTTCAATAAAGACTTCCATTTGGGCTGTCACTAGTGTTCCTAACTCACTGTCAAGACATCTTCACATCTGTACTAAGCCTTAACCTCAGCATCCGAGCAAGCTTGAGAAGCTTGCAAGCTTTGCAGCACTGGAGAGATCAAAGTGACTTGCCCAATATGAAGTAAGCAGCAGTGGAAAAGACCTGAATCTCAATCCTCTGGTTCCCAAGTATAGAATTCTTTCTACCATAACCAGCAGCCTCCTAACAAGTGTGTCACCAAAGGTCTCTGGTGATAGGAAACAGATAAGTGAGGGGCCCTCCCAGGCTCTCTGGGTTTGGTGAGGTCCTGGAAGTGAGACATCTGGCCAGCCTGATCTGCCTATGAACATGGGCAGCAGCTAACCCAGGCCCCAGGCACAGCCATGAGCAACCTGTGACCAGATCCTTCATATTTTTTGGTGGCTGAAGCAGAGCCTCCACTGGGGTGTATGCTCTCCCCTGGCACAGGCCACTCCACTGCCTGGGGAAGAAATTTCCTGCATGGGCAACTGGCAAAGTCAATCTCCAAGACTCCCCAGTTGGTTCTGAGTCTCCAGTTTATGGTTACAACAGCATAATCAAAAATTAATCCTTTGGAGGGGTTTATACCAGGAAGCCACAGTGGTTGGGTGAAATGAGAATCCTGGTGTGATCGTGTGGTAGATACACAATGACCAGTGGCCCAGCCCACACCATCACCACACAAGGAACCCATTTACCACCACACAGAGACGGCTGCTTCTGTGAATTACACAATCTGCCCTCAGTCCTCCAGAGCCTGCACCAAGGAACGCAGAATTATCCTGCTCTGGGGGACGGAGTAACCTTTTGGAGGCCCAAATGTAGAGGGCATGCCACAGAGATGAGGGACACTGTCAGTTCCAAGTACGTTAATGGTGCTGGTTTGCATGTGTTCTTGACACACAGTTGTCACTGCCCGGCAATCTAAAGCCTGCCTGATGGGAGGGTGTTAACAATCCATCCATCCATATGGCCCATTTCAAGTTTTCACCTCCCTTCCCCCTCTCCCATTCCCCGGGGAACTTGGTATCCTGAGAACACCAGTGAGATGCGCTGGCTTTCAGAAAACACACGAAATAGCCCTCTGCAAACTGGTGGCCAGTGACAGTCATACTTGTAGGCTTACATCTACCCATTTTTAAATCTTCTCTGCCGGTTTTTAGTTTTCTTCATAATCACCCCAATGACAAACACTTCTACATGGCATGGCAGCCCACAAGGCACTGTCGTGCCTTCCTACGTATGTGCACACGAGCATGTCCATGTTGTCTCCTTCAGTTGCACCCCGGCTCTAGGTGGTGAGCCACACTGCACAACCCCCACTTCTGAGAAGCAAATGCTGATGCCACCAGGTCTAAAGCGTCCTTACCTCTCGCTCTCATCTGCAGCCTTTTCTGCCTCTTCCAGCTTCTGCAGGGCTGTGGCCAGTCGCTCCTGAGCCCTGTCCAGCTCTTCCTCCACAAGCTGGATGCGTCGATTGAGAGCTGCTACATCCCCTTCGGCCTGGGGAGGTCAGAGGTGCAGCCGGGTTAAGAAGGAAAAGGCCAGCCCGGCAGCAGGGAGTCCCCAGCTCACATGGCACTCTTCCCTTGGTTAACAGGCTCCCTCCTACCTCCAAAGCCCACCCGGGAATGCAGGAGGTAAGGAATTCACACTCTCCTCTGGAGAATGTGAATTTTCCATTATGGTCTCCCCCCGAAAACATCCGGGAACATCCACCACTCAAGGACAAAGATGTGTATCAGTATAGGACAGGCAGTCAAGTCAATGCAGAAGAGTGACAAGTGTACCCCATGCTGTGAGAAGACAGCGCTGGCTGGCCTCTCTGGGATTCCCAGAGACTAAGGCCACCAGTGCCCTGGCTCACCCTGTCATATAAGGAGCTCCTCCGCTCCCTGTCACCTCCATGGTAAGAGACATGCAAGAGCATGGAAGCCTCAGTTCAACATTGGCCATGCAACATGGGAGAGGCGGGCGACACCATCAGAACACCACCCTGAACTAGGTCTCGCCCAGAGATAAAGGGACAAAAAAATCTAAGTAAGGAAAGAGAACTCGGTTACAGGCACAGAAGGGATGTCGGAACAGTGATACCGGCTTTTCAAGGTATTTTCACCTACGAGGAAGGTAATAACGGCAGCATACATAAAAATAGGAACTCCAGACTCAAAGAGCCCTGGGTCAGAATCCCTTGTTTGGCCAATTTGTAGCCATGTGGCATTGGGCAGGTTGCTTCACTGCTCTGAGCCTCCCCCGTCGCAACACCACAAATACCTGTCACTGAGGGTGTGGCACCGCACCTGGTGTGTGGGAAGTCCTATGATTTCACCTCATTTAATCCTCCAGTGTTTTACAACGGGGAAAGTGAGAGGTCCAACTACGTGCCGTCAGAACTGGTGAGAAACGGCCTCAGGAACCCCAGCCCACGGCTCTTCCCTGGCTGAACCTGTTTATACCCTGCGGAGTCCCGTGGGGGCTTCGAGGGCAGCCACCCGCAGCAAGAAATATTGAAGAGTTGGTGAAACTTGACTCAACCAAGAGAAAATGTGGGAAGCTACACTGGCTGCTTCATATCAAGGCAATCTCTGAAGTGGGGAAGGCCATAAACATTAGTAGAAAACTGCTCCCTCCCCTAACCCCCTGAATTTATAAGCCAAAAAAAAAAAAAGTGAAAGAATGAGGCCAGAGATGCTGAAAAACACAGAGAATCAGGAAACTTCCCTCAGTTCCAGATTCTTAGCAGCAGATGGAGGGCATACTCCCACAGGTGTTTCTGATTGCAACTTCCTATGAAACCCCAATTTGGAGAATACATTAAAACCACCAGTGAACTATTTTAAGAAATTCACCCACTCCTTCCAAGGAGTGGGTGCCTTTTATTCTTTTTAATAACATGAATCTTAATTCCTTCAGCAATGGGGGCGGGTATTAATCTTTTTCCCCCTCAATAGTTGTTAGTACTCCAAAAACCAACACCACAACCTTCCAACACCACACCTTTCCAGAACATGTTCATCAACCCCTCCCCCTGCAAAGAACCACCATCCCCATTAGCAAAGTATTGATTTTTAAAATCATACAAACGTGCTTTATTCATGAGTTGTCTCTTAAAAATTAAAGTGAGACTTTCCTGATGTGGGGAGCTCTGAATCCTGATAATCATGCTTTTGGCACATTTTCAACTGTCCGGGATTGAAAGAATGCTGATCCACACAACTATATACATGCAGACATATATACGTATTTTTGAAAAACTGCTAGTCACTGCTAGTCATTTTGGGCTCCACCCCTTCCTGCAATCAAAGCTTCTACACTCTACAAAGGATTTCCCTTATAAGGTAAAAGAGGCTTGCTAGATACATGTGGCAAGGGAACAGGAAGATGTCGGTTAATCACACAAAAATCTAAACGAAACCAGCTGTTGGGAGGCAGACCCAGAAGTCTGCCACACGCCGGCTCTTGGCTTTCTCCACAAGAAACTGAGAAACCTTTTATTTTTTGCCCTCCCCTCTGGGCTCAGTTCCTTTGCCCAAGAACTTTCTTCAGACTTCCCCGTCCTGATCAAGAGGAGCATGCTCTGAAAAGCAAACTTTTGAAGAAATCCACAACTTTCCAAAAACATCTCTCCTCCCAACTGGACGGTCCTACTCCTCAACCTTGGCTCCAGGCTGAGGGCCATTTTTAAGCAGAAGTAATTGTCCTCCAGCGAGATGACTTGGGATGAGATCAGAGGGAGGGTTCTGCTGGTTACTTGTGTGAAAGAGGCCAAACCAGCTACTGTTTGAGGTTTGCACCAGGTTTCTGAGGCCTCCTCACGCCGGAGCTACCCTGACAGGACGAAAGGCTTCCACTCAGGCCAACACTCAGGCGGGGCGGCGTGGGGCTCTCCTCCAGACTTGTCAATAGCCGGGGCACCTTTTCCACTTCTGGGGTCCGCACCCTTGAGCCTTGAAACTCCAGCTTTCGGGGGCCCTGGGCTTCCACCCTCTCCCCCAACTTTCTTGCACACCTAGGTCTCTTTTTCCCAGCAAACTCTTATGCTATAATCATAAATGCTCAACTTCCATTTTGAAGCCTACCCCACGGGGTGATTGCTTCCCCGTCCTGCTCGCACAACGAAACCCCTCTGCAATGCTACCAGCCAGCCTGATTTGCACCGATCACACCCATTAGGCTGAGCTCTTCTGAGGGGACAGGGAGGGCTGCAAAGACTGCCCAGGAACTGAACACCTACTATGTGCCGTTCCTCCCGGCCCCTCCCAGCCATCCTAGGGGGTCAGCATTAGGGTCACCGCTGCTTTACGGATGGGGAGGCTCGCTCCCAGGGGTTAAGGACAAGTGGTGGGAGATGGGTGGCGTTAGAATCCGGACGCCTCCCCAGCCCCCAGCCCCGAGGGTTGCCACCATCGGTCCAGCCCCGAGGGGCAGTCGGAGGGAGGAGGGAGGGCGGAGAGAGCCCTCCTCCTCCAGCCCCATTATCTGTCTCAGGCGCCGCAGCGAGGCTCCGGGGCACACCAAACCATCCTGGGTCGAGGGCCCCCGAGCTAACATCCCTAAGATCTTCTGGAGAAAGGCGGGGTCCCGCGGCCGGTCGCCCGGCTGCCGGGACCCGGCGGGGAGGGAAAGGCCGGCGGCTCCGGGCTGAACTTCCGCCCCCCGCCGGGAGCAGACACGTCGCCGCCGCGCCCGGGAACAGCTGGGAAAGTTCAGCTGGAGCCGGGAAGCCGCGTAAGGGGGAGAGAGTGCGACGCCCCCCACCCCCACCCCAGTCCGGGCCGGCTCGTCCACCCCAGACAATGGGAGCTCAATGTTTCCACTCTCACTTCCCGCCCCAAGGTCCAGCCGCCGGCCGCCTCCACCCCCCGCCCAGGACCCCGGCGCCAGCCCGGAGTCCGACGGCAGCGCGGCGCCCCCACACCCCTCCCCACTCCGGGATCCTGCGTCCTCCTCGGCCCCATCCCCCCATTACCCGCTCGGCCGGCCACGCCCGATCCGGATGCGGCGCCCCCTCCCCCGTCCCAGGCTCGGGAAGGAGGATGACTGCGGAGGAAGGGGGGTCTCAGCGGCCGGCCCGGGGAAGGGGTGCGGGTCGGCGATCCGGGAGCTGCCAGGCCAGAGCGCGGATGGAGGGCGGGGGGGGGGGCACCGGGCAGTGGCCGCCGAGCGCAGGCGGGGAGCGCGGGAAGCGAGCGGCGCAGGGAGAAGGGGGAAGCGCGCGCTGGGCGGGGGGCGCCGGGGGCGCCGGGGGCGCCGGGGGTGCCGGGCGCGGGCTCTCACTTTCTCGCGCCGCTCGCGCTCGCCGTCCAGCTCCCGCTGCAGGCCCTGCGCGCGGTCCTCCGCCTCGTCCGCCTGCTGCTGCAGGGCCTGGATCTTGCGTTTCACCGCCTCCAGGGAGTTGAGGCCGGCCATGGCGCGGAGGCGCGGAGGCGCACGCAGCGGGCGGCGGGCAGCGGCGGGCGCTCGGCTCGGCTCGGCTCGGCTCCGGCGAAAGCTGCACCAGCCGCGCCCCGGCCCCCGAGCCTTTGCCTGCGCGGGGGCCGCCCCCGCCTCTCCCCGCCCCCGGCCCGGCCGCCGTCGGGGCGATGAGGTCACCCGGCCCGGCCGCCGACGTCAGCACCGCTGGGGGAGGGCCTGACGTCGGCACCGCTGGCCACAGCTGCTGGAAAGTGCCCCTTTTCGGGACTTATTTGGAGAAAGCGCCGGGAGGCACCGCCTTCTCCTCCTCCTCCTCCTCCTCCTCCTCCTCCTCCTCCTCCTCCTCCTCTTCCTCCTCTTCCTCCGGCGCTGCCCGCCCGCCGGCCCGGCCCGGCCCGGCCCGGCCCCCGGCCCGGCCCCGGGGCTCCCGCCTGGCCCGGCCGCCGGCGCCCCCACTACTGCGCACGTACGTCGGAGGCTTTCTTCTCCGTCAGCTCCAGCTTCTCCTGGGCGTCCTTCAGGTTCTCGGAGTATTTGTCCAGCTCATCCTCCGTCCCCTTCAGCTTCTTCTGGAGGTGCGTCAGCTCCTCTTCCACCTGGGGACAGACGGGGCACGTGTCAGCCTGGGGGCCAGGCGCGCGAGGCGCAGGGCCGTCTCCCTCAGTCACCAGGGCCCTCTGTCTGTCTGGGGATAGGGATACAGTGCCCCACTCCAGTGCTACCTGTTAGTATGGTCTCCACCTCCTCCCCATCTCTTGGGACCAGCTGTGCTTATCTTTCCGGGAGTCCTGGATACTCTTTCAGAATCGCTTACAGATTTTGCGAAATGAGTACCGGAAACACACTTCCCAGAAACACACATCGGATTTTACGTCCCAGTTTCAGGGACGCGGACTGCTGGTGGTCCTGAGGTAGGCAGCAGTAGGAGTCTCCTACTCTGGGCCTAGACCATCCTCGGAACCCCAGCCTGCCCCCCTCTAGTTCGGCCTCCTACATTGGCAGCCAGAGGAAATTTCTAATTGTATGTTTGCCCTCCCCCTGCCTACAACTGCCATGGCTCCCCGTTGTCCAGGAGAGGAATTCTCAGACTTTCTCACAAAATACCCTGAAGGGTTGGGACCCCTGGAGGGCTCAGTAAGTTAAGCCTCGGGTTCTTGATTTTGGCTCAGGTCATGCTCTCAGGATTGTGAACTCGGGGAGGTGAGATGGAGCCGCTAGTCCAGTTGGCACTGGGCATGGAGCCTGCTTAAGATTCTCCTTCTCCTGTTCCTCTGCCCCTTGCCTTCACCCCCACCCGGTGCTTTCTCTCTCTCTCTCTCTCTCTCTCTCTCTCTCTTTCTCTCTCTCTCTCTCTCTCTCCCAAGAAAAAACTGAAATACTCTGAAAGATTGAAGGACTCAGGCCCGCCCCACTCCTGTACTTGGGGGCTTGGCTAGAAGAGGGATGCTCCTCAAAGACCACTTTCTTCCAAGGCTAAGGTTAAATCTTTAAAATTATTGCACATCTGGCTTGTGTTCATTTAATGCAAATGTCACCCACATACCTCAAATTTTTGGTTCTTTGTTTATCTTGGGAGCCTTGTCCCTTTCTTGGCACCCCGGTTTGAAAAGTTCACGTCTATGGGATACAAACCACAGACCCTCCATCTCCATCACCCTCCACCACGCCAGTCACGAGTCCGCTCCGGAAGCCTTCTCTGTCACCTCTAGGCTGCACCTCCCTCCCTAACTCTGGTCCATGGTGGTCAGTCCAGCTCATAATTTGATCTGACTTATGTTTGACCCCCTCGTCCAGTCCATGCTCCCAGGGTGGGCCAGCAGCCGTCTCTGGGCCCTGCTTCATCGTCCTGCTTCCTCTTCCCAGCAGGAAGCCCAGAGAGGTGGAGTGACTCTCTGGGTCACACAGCACAGAATTTGAACCCACTTCTGGACAGGCCCTTATGCCAGGCCTGATTTCCTGCATCTCTTTCTGACTTCTTTTCTCTAACTTCCCGAAGAAAGTATGTTATAAAAGCTGATTTGCTTCTAGGTCAAGCTCTGAATCTGATCTGGGTTACACACTCACCCCTGAGATGATATGTGAAATGTGCCAGATGCTTTATGTGTGTGTGCCCATGCAAATTCTCTCTCTCTCTCTCTCTCTCTCTTTTGTTTTTAGATTTATTTTAGAGAGAGAGAGAGAGAGCACAAGTGAGAGGGGTAAAAGGAGAAGGAGAGAGAATCTCAAGCAGATTCCATGCTGAGAGTAGAGCCCAATGAGCTTGATCTCACAACTCTGAGAACACAACCTGAGCCAAAACCAAGCTTAACCAACTGTGCCACCCAGGTGCCCCCGTGCAAATTCTCAAAAGGCCCCTGTCCCATCTTCAAGGCCGCCAAATGTCCTACTGCTGAGTTAGGAAATGGGGAGGGGAGTGGAGGCTCAGAAGAGGAGGGTGACAGCAATGTCAGTCTCCACAGGGCCTGATCTTGACCTTCAGGCAATAAGCCCAGAAGCCTGGCTCCAAATCCCAGCTGTATGACCTCTGCCCCCTTTTCTGGCCTCAGTCTTCTCATCTGCAAAATGGAAGCCTTGACATGGTGGTCTCTGAATGCTTAGCACTGCTGTAAAACTTCTGGCTTGACTGAGAAAATGAGCCAGCATGACCCAGCATTCACCTGACTTCCTCCTGGAAGGATCTGTGGGGTGCAGCATTTACTAGGTGCCAGCTATGTGCTCTCTCTTAATGTGACAGAGTGAGAGCAAGTTCTGCAGCTTTGGGCTTATCCAGGTGGAAAGATGGTTGGGTTTTTCATGACCTTTTCGAGCCGGGTTTGGATAACAAGGAGTGGGGACCGCGATAACATGGGTAGGGGGCTATGAAGTGTTTAGAAAGTACCAGGCCCACTACATGTACTGTCTCACTGAAGCTGCATGTCACAGAAGGGTAAACTGAGTCCTAGCATGAGGAAGGGACTTGCCCTGGGCCATAAAGATAGGGGACTTGAACTCTTGGCAGACTGATTCCAAAGCTGGTTCACTTGACTTCTAGGTGATGCATGCCTACTGCCCAGCACACCCTCTTCCACTCCCAGCACCAATGTCTCCTCCCCTGGGAGGCCTGTTCTGCCGCCCTGGGCAGAGCCTCACCACCCCCTTGGGCCATCCCAGTCCCTGTCCTGCCCTCTGGTCCAGCCCTGACTGCTGAGGCAAGGGGCGTCCCTCCATATTTGGCTCCATCTCTCCCAGCTTGGGCCCCTCCAGAGTTGGGCAGAGCTCAGGTCACGCTGAGCCCCTGAGCCGAGCCCCAGCATCACTCAGCGTGGGGCTGGGCCAAGTGCTCACCAAGGCAGTCCAGAGGAAGTTTGCAGGATGAATCAATGACACACCCCAAACCCTTCAGTGGTTGGAGCCAGGTAGAAAAAAATCAGTAAGACTGACAAATCAGGTTCCTTTCCCTCGTCCGATTTCTAAGCATGAAGCGTGTGCTGGTGTATGGCACCTTGCGGGGAGGGTAGCCTTGCCCTGACTCTGGAGGGTCTCTGACAAGTCACTTCCTTCTGTGGGCCTCAGTTTCCCTGCCGGTAAAATGGTTAAGAAGGTCACAGAATTCACACCTTAGTCCTTGTAAATGGAGCCCTAGGACAGGGCTGAGGCAGGATGTGGGGTCAAAGGCCAGTTGTGGCGGATGTCACTGCCCTGGGAGGGGAGCGAGCAGGAAACGGGGAGGGCTGGGCCTCCTGGTCCTGTTCCCACACTGGACAAACAGGACCTAGAATGGAGATTTTGCTGCAGGGTCCTCAAGGGGCAGGCTGACCCCAGGACACACACCTTGCCCCCCTGAAGTATAAGGAACTCTAGGTAAATCAAGTCCGTCATTGCCTCCTGCCTCTGTTCCCAGGCAGGACAGGCCATCAGGCCCCTTAGGAATATGGCCTCTGCTTTGGGCTTCTGGAATCTTGGGTTCCATGCTTGGCCATCAGAAAGTAGCCTGTGCCCCCATTTCACAGATAAGAACACTGAAGGTTCAGAGAAGGGCAGCAATGTGTCCCGAGTCAAAGTTAGAAGACCCAGCCTGGATGCGAGCACAAGTCCACCCCAGTGGGTGGCTTTGTGGAAAAACAAGAACAGAATGAAAACCCGGCTGGAGGCCACAGAACCTGTCCCTGCCTTTTGGCCATGCAGCTGGCTGAAGGCATTGAGTGGCCTTCCATTTTGAATTGGTGTCTGCCTTGGGAGATTATGCTGTATCAGTCACTCACACCTTAGTGCCCATTAGAGCCAGAAACTTGCTTTTCTCTGAACCCCTAACTAAACCTCTCATGGCAAGGGCTAAATGACGGGTGGAGGAAGCAGCTCAGGACTGGTGTGAGAAGGGTTCTGTCAGGGAGGAGAACCAGGAGGGAGGAAGGGAGTATAGCAGGGAGTGCTGGGGTGGGGCTGGCCTTTGTGAATGTGTCACAGGCTCTTAGGGAAGCCCGGGATCACTGGGGGATGGGGAGGCCCAAAGGGGAAGTAGGGCAGGGCAGGAAATAATCCTGCATTTATTGAGTGCTTACTCTGTGCCAGGCACCAGGACAAGTGCTCCACCTGCAGTCACCTCTAATCCTGCCGTGGCCGTAAGGGAAGCACCATTGTCACTTTCCTGTCTCAAACGTGGGGCCACTGAGGCACAGACCAGCGAAGGCCTTTTGCTCCACGGTGCCCAGTGACCTAGTTGAACAGAGCCAGGCCGAGCTCAGAGCCTGCCCTTTTTACCTGCCAAGCTGGCCTGGCGTCTGGACTGGGCAGGGCTAGGCACATAGTATCACTGTCCTGGGTGGCTCCTGGGACTTATCTGAGACCTTGATGCTCCTGAGGGCTGGGTAGTTGATGGTGGGGGAGTGGATGAGCCCTGTGGGGGGCAGGGTGCTACGGAGAGAGCAGCACTCCCTGTCTCCTCTTACTGGCTGATCCACCACCCAGCCCCCGACAGCTGACATCTGCTCTGCTCCAGGCCGTGGCCTTGGGACTGCCCAGCCCAGGCCTCTGTCCACTCGCTGCATTGGCTCCCTGGTGTACCCTATGGCCAGAGTCTTCTGGAAAGCTCGTCTCCAGAGCTCTAGGTCCACGGCCTCCGCCTGCCACTGGCACCCTCACCTTTCCCGTCTGGGCTCCCAGCAGGGACAGCACGGGCACCTGAGATGCACAGAGATGCATCGAGATCCTCAGGTTCACCCCTAAATCTCCAACCATCCCAGGCCCCAGATTCTCTCTCAGTTGCCCCAGCAGCTAGACACAGCCGGCCCCACCACACACACCCACTCGGCCGCCCTTCCTACAGAGTCACACCTGGGACTGTCCTGACATGGGGACAAGGTGACGCACACTCACACATAGCTCCCCACTGCCCTCTTCACCACTACACATGCCCATGCACGCGCACACACACACACACTCTGACAGCAATCACCCCAACAAGCACACACATGCCAATACAAATACAGTCACCTCGACACACACATACTCCCTGATATACACACATTCCATTACCGTCATGTCAACTTTGGCACAGGCACACACACAGCCAGCCTCTGCCCGCTGTGTCAACTTTGGCGCACACACCTGCACACACAAACCCATGGCAATACCACCAACGCCCTCACAGACTCACGAACACATCCAGACTCTTCTCATACCCACCTTCCAACAACCACACGCTCATGCCTCTGTCTGCACGTACTGATTGTCACAGGTGCTTTTACTCCTCCACACTCTCTCCAGCCAAAACATACACACTCACACCCCACTTGTGCACACCCCACCTGTGCACACACGGAAGTGCCCAAACGCACAAATACACTCTGACACATGACATCAATCAACCACCCCTTCTAGTACACACACCCCCACACACTCACACTCTTATCCCAACACACCTACATGCACACTCCAGCTTGCATACCCCTCCAGCATGCACAAACACCCCTCCCTTGCCCGTGTGTGCATTCACTCTCACTTTGCTTGCCCCGGCCCTGCTGGGGTATCGTCACCTCTCTCTCCCAGTTCAGGGACCCTGGGAAGACAGTGGTCCCCTCACTCTTGGCCAGAGCATCACCCCCTGTCCTTGCCCTGACTCCAGGCACTGAGGATTCTGAGACTCCCACTTGGGGTCCCAGAGCGTGGCCTCTGGGACCAGGAGCAGCCCAGAGAGGGCACTGGGTAGCCAGACCCGGCCCAGCAGATGGCACCTCACCTGCTTGCACTTTTCCTCCGCAGCTTTCTTATCCGACTCCGCCTGCTCGGCCCGGTCGATGGCATTCTCCTTGTCCAGCTTCAGCATCTGCATCTTCTTCTTGATGGCCTCCATGGCTGGGCGGTGGGGCGCGGGCACAGAGGACTCTGCGGAGGGGGCTGCGCTGCGGGCCGGGGCGAGTGAGCAGCCGGGCGGGGGTGAGGCCCTTATAGGCGCCCGGGCGCACCGCCCCGCTGCCGGGCGAGTCCTGGAGGAGGCCCAAGCCCAGGCCGCCGGGCCAGCCGCCACTCGCTTGCTCAGGAGGACTTGGCCAGCTCACCAGCCGCCCCGCAGCCCTCGCCTTATTTGGGCCTAGGATTTTCTCAAAGGAAAAAAAAAAAGAAAAGAAAAAGCCCGACCCGTTTCCATTTTTAACCTGGTGACACAGGTCCCTTGTGGGCGTGCGGGCACAGCGCTGGCTCAGGAGGACCCTGGCAACCTATCGGCCGGCCTCAATTTGCCCACCTGTGCTGGGGAGCACAGAAGAGGGCTTGCATGTGGGTGCAGGGTAGGGGCGAGGTAGGGTGGGGAGGCACCTGTCCCCCCTTCTCTGCTCTGGTCCTGCCTCCAGGTGTTGGGAGTCAGAACTCCATCCCATCTCCCACTGCCCTGGGGGCTCCCTGGGTTATCCCCTTCTTTCTGGCAAGTCTGACTCATCATTTTCTCCCCCGGTCTCTTTTCCAATGAGTGTCTCTGTGTCTCTCTCTGTCTCTGTGTCTCTCCACCCCATGTTTGTTCATTTCCCTGTCTCCCCATCTCTCGTGGTCTTGTTCTCTCGGATTCTCTCTGTATCTCTTTGTCTTTGTCTCTCTATCCCTTCAGATTCTTCCCTTGTCCTTCTGTCTTCTCCTGTGTCTGTCTCTCTGTCATCAACCCTGCCCCTGTGGGCCAGCATCACCAGCGTGAGATTGACCTGCATCATGCCTTGGAAATTCTTGGAGGCCAAGGCCAGCCCAGACCAGGCCCTGATGCCCTCCTTAGATGGCACCACCCTCGCCTCCCCGCTCAGTGTCCATCTGTGGCTCCCCAGCACCACTGGAACAGGAGGTGGCCTTAGCTCATCTTTTCACCCAGACTCCTATCCACTGCTCCCTCCCCAGTACTGCTTCCCAGGCGGGGTTGTGGTTTCCCCACCTCCAGGCCTTTGTAGGTAGGAGTACCCTCCCACACCTCCTTGCGCTTTTCCTCTGTCCTCCAACAATCTGCCTTCAGAAAGGTGTATTCACTCCTTTTTTCATGTGATGAACACTGAGAGCCTTTCACGTTTCAGAACGTGGCACCTCCTACTGTTGTTCTGTTGCCTTGTGTGTGCACAGTATGTTGTTCTGTTGTCAGTTCTGGACTGTGAGCTGCTTTGGGGCGGGCCTGTGCTTCAGCCTTGTCTGTGGGGGTCCTCTAGGAGATCAGAGAACTCTTGTTAATTAAAGTGAACGGTTACCCCTATGCATTCACATACCACTGCCCGTACCCCATACTTCTCCACTAGGAAACTCTATTCATCCTTTATTTTTTTTTTCCTAAAGATTTTATTTATTTGGGAGAAAGAGCATGAGACAGAGTGAACAAGCAGAGCGGGGTGGGGGTGGAGGGTAGAGGGAGAAGCAGGCTCTCCGGCTGAGCAGGGAGCCCGATGTGGGGCTTGACCCCAGGACCCTGAGATCATGACTTGAGCTGGAGGCAGACGCTTAACTGGCTGAGTCACCCAGGTGCCCCTCTATTCATCCTTTAAAGTCCAGATCAGATGGCTCCTCCTCCAGAAAGCCCTCCTGGACACCTAGACAGAGCCCTGGACCCCTATGCAACCCACCATCAAAGCTTCCATGTGGGATGACATAGGACTGAGGCTTCTGTGTTTCCTGCCCAAGACCACAGAAGGAGTGGGATAAGGAAGGACTGGGCAGTGGCCAGCATCGCTGGGGAGCACGGGTGTCAGGCCCAGATATAGAGTCCCTGCTTCTCTCTGCCCATCTTAAGCCAGCTTCCTTTTTTTTTTTTTTGTCACGTTGAGAAGTCCTGTCCCTCCCCCACCAGCATTGGGGCCCAAACAGTAGCAAACTGAACATTCTGGAACCTTTCTCATACTCCAAGGACATTGGCTTCTCCCCATATTCAGGAACCAAGGGGACTCAGCCCAGATCCCTCCCCAACTCTGTCTCCATCTCTCTCCCATACTCCACCCCTCCCAACGTCCTGGCTGCACAGACCTGGTTTCCTCTTATGATACAAACAGACCATCATAATTGCGTCTTGGAGAATGTCAGTGATGATTGAAAGACTTGGGATAGATAATGACGTGCTGTGCCTAGTGCCATGCTGAGTACTCCACTCAAAGCAACTCACTTCAGGCCTCTGAACCCTGGGAGGTAGAAGACTGTATTTATTCCCATTTACAGAGGAGGAAGCCTGAGACCCAGAGTCGCCCACCCAGGGTCACCCATCTTGTGAATGGCAGAGCTGGAACTGGACCCAGATGCCTCTAAACAGAGTTGGAGGGAGATCCTAAGATGCCCTGCCCCCATGTCTTTCTGTGCCCTTCTCCTATCCTCTGTCTCAGACCAAGTCATCAGAGGTCATCTCCCTCCTCCCTCCACGCCACCCCTCACCCCACCCCCTACCCCACCACTGCCTCCTGGGAGTCCCCGAGACCAGCCTTACCACAGGTGGTGTGGCTAATTCCAGGCCTGACACTACCGGCTCAGGAAAGGGATCCCTCCCTCAGGAGCTGCTGGCTAGCTCGGTGGCCTTGTAGGGTAGACCCTAGTCACTGGAATGTCCTTTTGCTCAGGGAGCTCCCCAAGGGGGAATCTGATACTGGGTAGGGGAGAAAGAGGCCGGGGATGGTGTTAGAGCCCAACTAGGTTGCCCTGCAGCCTTGGGACTTGTGCCCTTTCTGCATGTCTGCTCCAGGGACACCCGAGGAGTGCTGACCAGGGCTGGATAGGGTCATCCAGGGTTCCTGGGGGGCTGGCCCAGCTGTCCAGGCTGTGGGGCATGTGGGGCCTTTACAGCTCAGAAGGAGTCAACTCCTGCCCCCGCCCCCAACAATGGGTTTTGTGGATGCTGGTGAGCGTCGAGTGACCAGCTGCCATCCTGGCCACCTCACATGAAATTGGGATCAAGTGAAATTTGGGATCATTTATTGAGCATTTACTATGTGCCAGACACTATATGGGCTTTGAAGACATGGCAGTGGACAGGACTCAATCCAGGGGGAGAGATGACCAACAACTACAAATAGATATGGAATTCATTAAAATAGGGCAAACTGCTGCCTTAGGTTGGACTCCCCCAGAAGGAGATGCTGAGGCAAGAATTTGAGGGCAAACAATTTATTTTGGAGGCAACCCAAGGAAACATGGGTAGAGGGTGGGAAAGTGAGACAGAGAGGGGAAGGAGGCCAGTAAAGGCTGCCCTACTGAAGCCGTTACTTCTCTGGACAACAGGGTGCAGTCCCACAGGAGACCTCTGGCGGCGCAGCACAGAACACTCCTCAGAGTCGTAGGGGTTGATGGGGGTGGGCAATGGTGGTGGGGGTGGGGGTGAAAAATGGGTATTTATCCACCAATCCCCAACCTCCTTGGTTGAAAGTAGCTTATGTATGGAGGTGGGTGCCCTTGCATGGGGCACCTTCCCCCTCCCCCACTCCCATGCAGGTGCAGGAAGGAGGCCTTCCATGCCAGGGGGGACAGTGGGAGTCCAGGGTGCCTAGGTAGGCACTGAGCATGTCTGATAAAATGTTAATGGCGTGTGCAGCATGGGGGACCTGACTGGTCTTGGATGGAAGTAAGGAAAGCCTTCCCTGGGGAGGTGGCAATTGAAGTAAGGTCTGAAGGAGAATGGAGAGGTGGGGTGGTAGAAACAGGTGTTGCATACATAAAAAACCACAGGTGAGAAGGGCTGACAGGAGGGGAGTATGCCTTGACTGGAGAGACAGGTGGGAAGAGTGTGGTAGGTGGGAAATGAGCCCTCAAACATCAGATGGCAGAGGAGAGTATGGGGGGGCCCTCATGTGTCTCCTGGAATTTGAGGCATACAGAGAGACCGAGAGGGCCAGGATGAACTTAGTATTGGTGGAAAAGAGCAAAGGTCTCATCTTATACCCTCTGGAGTCTTTCTCATTGGATAATAATATGACAACAATGATAATCAAAATGGCACTGGCAAAGATGACCCAGAGTCTATACCGGGTGGGTCACATGCAGTGTGTGTGTGTGGTACTTGTGTGAGGGGAGATTCATTGACCCTTTATCCAGACCCTTGTGTAGTAAGAACCTGGAGTCCCCTCCACAGGGACGCTGCTCACCACAGTCACACAGAAAGCACATGGTAAAGCCAAGATTCGAACTGAAGTCTGACTGATTCCCTGGGACCTGAAACCACCACCACTCCAGCCCTACTGCCCTGTCTATTAAGTCAGTGTGGGGAGGAGGGAGCAAAGGTCCCTGTGTCCTCCCAGAAATCTCTGAGACAGACTCCAAGGGAACTGTGTGGGTTACAGAGCTTGCCCACAAATGCCAAAAAACAGGCATGACCACAAGCTCTGTGGCATTGTCATGATAATTAATAATAATTATAGTTAACACCGACGTGGCTCTCAATCTGCTCACACTCTTCTAAGTGCCTTGCATATGTAAGCTCATATATTAATTTTCACATAACCTTATAAGAGCTATTACCATTATATAGCAGGAGAAACTGGAGCACAGAAAGGTCAAGTCCTTGTTTAAGGCCACACAGCTAAAAAGTAACAGAACCAGGATTTGAAGCCAGACTGTCTGGCTCTAGAGTCTATTCACTGAACCACTACACTGTACCCTGGGCTGCCTTCTGTTCTCCCAGACATCTAATGGGTAGAGACCAGGGATGCTGCTGACCCCAGCTTCCAGCCCCAGTTACCCTTACAGACAATGGTCACCACCCATTGGGTGTCACTGCTACTGCTATTGAGAAACAACTCTCTGAGGCTTTGGCATTTCTGTATAGCTCACAAGCAGTGGTGTGGGCAACATTTTTTTCTGGCTATCTTTTCAAGGATGTTTGTATAGCAAACAGCCACAGAAGACAGAGAATTTCTTACTGCAGAGCAGAGGGCAGGTTTGTTTACTGTCCATATAAAAAAGATAATGCCTCCCTCTGAGATATAAGTAGGGCAGG